ATTTTGAGACAGGGTCTCACTAAGTTGCTGTGGCTGGCCTTGAACATGCAATCCCCCTGCCTCTGCCTCCCAAGCTGCTGGGATTACAGGCATGTGCCACMAAGCCCAGTCTGAAGCCATTTTTAATATTATAAACACAATATTTCCTCATAAAAATTATAATGAAGCAAAAATTCCAATGTTATAATAACATTATAAGTTCCCAGATACTTGTTTGATTTTCTCATACACTGTCGTTTACCTGGCACATGATAAACAATCAATAAATACTTTGTGAATGAAAAAAAATTCAAATGTTATAAACTTGATGCTAAATCTTACCCCCTATATCTTATATTTCTAACTTGGGAAAAACRGATCAAACCAAATAGATCTCATTTCATAATATTTCCTTACATAATAAATTATCAGATACATTTGTGTATGTGGGTATTATCTCTTAGAAAGAACACTATTGTGACTGATCTGAAATTTAAAATTAATAATTCACASAGAAAACTACTGCAAACTTATTTTACTATGAAATTCTTGGTGCCCAAACAGTGGCTTTCAACTCAACCCTTKATACAACATAAGAATTCTCAAAATAATTGAGTTGAAGAAAGTGGCATTAATAACAAAATAGTGTCAAGGGCTTTTATCTAATCCTAGAGAATGAGCAGAAGGGGACAGATCTTGTAAGACAAACTGGAAAAGAGAAAGAACGTGAAGTAAATGTGGCCTTGGCACCTTTTGCACTGCAAAATCCTCAACTTRCAGAAGGAAAAGAATGAGAGGCCACAAAATGTCAGTTAGTGGAAAAGGATGCAGGGAAAGCAAAACAGCTGAGTAGTGAACAGAAACCACACTAGAAAATATAAAAATAGGCAGTKAAGAAGAGAATCAAGAGAKGRCACTAACTCCAGTCTGAAGTTCAAGAACAGCAAWGAGTWATAAATGAATTAGACAATGCTCTGTCATGTCTTGTTAAAGTTATACACAAATAAAAGGCAAATCTCTAATCTTTAGAGGTTTAAATTTGACAGTGAATATCTATTTACCTTTGACTTTGTCTCATTTCTTTAAACTTAATAACTGAATAAATATTTAGAAATTCTTAATTATTAAAGCAAGCTTCCTAGCTGCACTGACAGGCTACATAAAAACTTCACTCCACTAATCCCATCAACAGTAAGGTTACTGAAGTCAAGTTCATTTTATAAGCATTGATTAAATTTGCTATCACAATACTACTTTATTATAATGACAGAGAATGAGTCATTTCACTTCTAGAAAAATTACACTGAAATTTTCTTTGGAAAATTTTAGTAGTGGGATGAAATTTTTAAACATTTAAAAATGTATCTTTAAACAGAACAAAATATCCAGGATGCTATATAAATAAAAATGATAAAAATGTATCAGTAAACAGGGTACGACCTTGGTCTATAAGTGATATTCTCCACATCAATTTTTAAGTTTCAAAATACCACTAAGAGGATACTGGTTAAAGTTTCTCTCTGACATATTTCCTAAAAGCCTGGTAGTAAGCTTATTTTAAAAATTGATTTAAGGTAGTTGTGTTTTCAGTAGCATTTAGAACAATTTAGCACTTGGTAGCAATACTCAGATCGGCACACTGTACTAAAACATAACTGTGTAACGTTTTGTAAACTAGCTGCAATTTTCAGTAGCTGTGTTCACCAACCGTGCAACAGAATTATAATGTTCTCCTAATCCATATGCATGTCTCATATATACAAGTATTAATGGTTGTTTGGAATATTCTTCGCCAACTACAATAGCAGGAGAATCTGCTTATATTATCTCTATTGGTGTTTGTAAAATGTGAGACAGAGCTCTTAGCTCAAGTTGGCCTCCCCATGCAGCTGTGTTTACAATATCATCACAGTACTTTTCAAACTCTTCTGGAGTATACATATTTCCTGAATTAGGATTCGTTAAAAATGGCAAAAAGTCTTCCACATGGCTTTGCATATATTCGGCAGTTTGACTTCTTAAGGCAGCCACAGTCACAGCACAGTCCTGTTCTTTCAGTTGATCCTCAATGGCTCTATACATACAGTGGCCATCAGATGGAATCTGTTTAATTTCCAACTCTCTGGCTGCCAATATCTGAGCAAGTTTTTCACTTTCTACGTGTCTAGCTCCAGATAAGTTCTCAATTTCAGCTTCAGCTATCCTTTCCTCCCGCTCCTTTTCCAATGCAGCTTTCTTTTCCTGTCTCTTCTGTGCTTTTGATATCCGAGGAGGCCGATTTTCAAGTGCCAAGTTTGAAATATTAACAGCAACAGAATCTATCTTATTCTCCTTGCAAGTCAGTCTCAATTGCTCCAGTTCCTCTTTATGTTTCTGTTCCATTTCTTTTTCCAACTTAGCAACATCTTCAGTGAGTTGCTTCCTCCTTTTTTTTGTCATTCTTGGGAACAGCATTCTTCATGCCCTGAATTTTGGCTTGCAACTCCTTCTTCTCTTTGCGATGCCTTCTCATCAGCTGCTCCTCCTCATCAAGGTCTTTGGTCAAGTCTGATTCCATGACGTCCGGGTCGCCAGGCACATKCGTTGGAGAAAACCTGCAGCACGAGCCTAGCAGACACCTTCCACCCCTCAACCAGACACACTTATTTTTTAAACAATATTTAAATGTGGTCTTATGGAACAATGGCAGATTTTATCACCTCACTCTTACTACCAGACTTTGCTGTTGATTATGACTTTAATTTTCTCTTAAGATTCAAAAAGCTTTCTTATTTCTAAACATTGGGTCTGTACTTAAAGGCCTTGAARGATTGAGGGAAGGAACTCATAATTCAGTTCTTTGCTTTTAATTTTAAAAATCGTGCATTGATGAGCCACACAGTTCTATCCTGACCCCTGCATCACAAATGGTCAGATTTCATACTTTTAAAAAAACTTGATTTCATTTATGGCTCTGTAGACATTTGTGTATGCTTGAATGGTGCTTGATTTCTAGTTTTCATTTGTCATATTCTCTTATAAAATTTGCATTATTTGGCAAAAATAATGTTATTTTGAAAAAAAAATAACACATGGAATAGGTATAAATGCATAAGTGCAACTTTATTATTAAAATAGCCAAGGCCTACTTTGAAGGTAATAAGAAAGTAGTAAGTTGATTGGGCCAGATTTAATCAAAGGAAAGTTTCATTTAGTTGTCATGATATGACATTATATTCATTTATGGACATTATATTAATTTATTGGGAGATGCTGAGGAAAAAATGACATAAATATCCTTTGTTCATAGGTTTGAAATACTACATTTAACAAATTTTGCATTTCCATATATATGGGTCAGTTTTTAGAACATTGTTTCTTTTACATTTTCTGTTTGTCTATTTATGCTCAGAACCATGCTATTTAAAAAGTTAAGTAAAACCTTAAGTCAGGTGCTGTGGCCCATACCCATAATTCAGCTACTCAGAAGGTTGAGGCAGGAGCATTCCAAGTTTGAGGCCAGACTGGGCGACTTACTGAGATATTGTCTCAAAAGGGCCCTTGGGTTCAATTCCCAGTAATGAAAAATAAATTAAGGACTGATAATATGTTACAACAATATTCAGTTTATCAGGACCTCATAGGATTATTCTTTTCTCTCTTTCCAGTTTTTCTTATTTCTCCCTACCTAGTCTTGCCTGATGAATTATATTTAAAATTTCTTCTGCTTAAAAAAGACTTTGTTATTAAAAATTTCAGATACATACCAAAGCACAATGAATTCACATGTATCCATCAAAGAGCTTAACAGTTTCCGAAACTAGTGGTCAATCTTGATCTATCTCCACCTTCATCCTCTTCTTTTATCCCACCCTTAACTAGATTCAAGATACACTTATTTTTTAAACAATATTTTAAAGCAAATCCCAGACATCATATGCTGAATTTTATGAATATTTCATTATGTCTCTCTAAAGAATAAACACTCTTTTTCTAAATATAGCTAACTGTAACTTATAATTCCTTAACATTTTCAAATATCTAGCCAGTGTTCAGATTTCTTCTTTAATTTGTGTGGTTTGTTTGAATCTAGAGCCAAATGAGGTCCATGTTTGCATTTGGCTTCCCTTTCCCTCCTCCTTCCCTTCCTTCCTGCTAAATTTATTTTAGGTTTTGCTTGCCAATTTTTTTTCTTGTAATTTATTTTGTTGAATTTTTTATATTCCATAATTGGCTGGTTGGTGTCATTTAACATATTCCTCTAAACTCTACTATTTCTTGTAAACTGATCATCAAATCCAGGTATTGTTCTGCATTTCAAAAAAAGTTCAATATAGAGCCCTTAAATAAAAGAAGTATAGAGTAAGTGGGGCCTTCCATTTTGAGTGAATTAACTTCACTTGCTCTGCCTCACACCCTATCCCCTTCTTCCATTCCATTTCCAAAGTCTCAGGTTAGGGGTGTTTGTATGAATGTGGAGAAACTAGAATGAAGTGTTCCTGTTTTAAAAAGTACTTTACAGAAAACGCAATTTTATTTATTTTTAAAAAATCTAAATTAGTAATTGATTTTTCCTTTTTACATGCTATTTTAATTTTAATAAAATAAATTCATATTACATAGAACAAGTGCATCAACTACACTCATTGTTGATAAAATTTTAGAAATATTTGAATTGGTTAATTGATCTAAAATAACAAAAATGTATGCTTATGGTGTACAACATGATGCTTTGATATACGTATACATTGTGGAATGAATGATTGGGTTAAACTAATTAGCATCTTCATTACCATATGTATATATATTTTTTGTGGTAAAAACATTTATTATCTATTTTTTAATTTTTGTGTGGTACTGGGGATTTAACCCAGAAGCATTCTACTTCTGAGCTGCATCCCCAGGCCTTTTTATGTTATTTTTCAGTCAGGGTCTTGATAAGTTGCCCAGGCTGGCCTTGAACATGTGATCTTCCTGTCTTAGCCTCTCAAGTAGCTGGGATTATAGGTGTGTGCTACCATACCCAGCCTAAAATCTATTTTTTAAAGTAAAATTGCAGTTTCTAATATGTTACTGTTAATTATACTTATTATAGTTACTGTACTGTACAGAGATTTCCAGAACTTCTGCCCCATAATGGAAACTTAGTACTTCTTGGCCAACCTCTTACCATTCCCCTCTACTCTAGCCCCTGGTAACTACTATTCTGCTCTCTGCTTCTGTTGAGTTTGACTTTTTTAGAGAGAAGAATTGTTGACACATTGACTAACGTGGAGATCTTGCTTATAATCAATCAAAACTCTCTCTTATCAGTATTCCTTTTTCAAAGAGAATTATCTCTTTTTTGATTTTCTAAGATTTTGAGGGAGTAGAATGATTTACTGCAATGTCTAATGAATGCTTTTGGGCTTTTCCCCTAAATATTTCTGTGATATTCCATGTTATTGATACTTAAAAACATCAACTTACCCTAAGTTTCTCACATAGTGTTTCTTTTTCCATTGCTAGATCATTTTCTGCATATCAGTTTAGCTGAAACTTAGGTTTAGTTCTATTCCTTCTTCTCTCAATTTTTTGAAATTTTCAGAAATTCTAATGGATTCAATAATTGTCTCAAACTGAAGGTTTCTGAGTCCATATCTTCTGTTGAGTTTTTTTCTTGGTCTCCACACCAGAGTTTTTACCTTCCAATTTAATATTCTCACATCCAAATTCATTGTCCTTAATTTCAAACAGTACTGTTTCATGTTGACTTTATAGTATCAACATCTACCGAATTACCAAGCCAGAAATCTGGGATTCATCCATGTGATGCCCCCCAAGCCCCTACCTAATTCAATCAGTTACAAAGCACCTTTAAATATTTCTGCCTAATTTTGTACAAATCTGTCCCTTCATTTCTACCTTTACTCTTACGTTCTTCAGAGTATGAACTGGGTTTCAGCCTACCTCTTTCATTTGTTTTGGCCTTGGTTAAATTATCTTTTTTTCCAGAGCTCAGATTGTACCTCTGTTAGATAGAGCATTACTAATACCAACCTCAGAGTGTTGTTTATTAAATGAAATAATTTATATAAAAACCAACTGCATATTAAATGCCAAAAGTTAGCTAATAATAATGATTATTATCACTTTAATGACTAACACTGATAGTAATCATTCAGGTTATACCATTTCTTCCTCACTGTATTGTAGTATTTTAATTTATCTCATTGACTTCCTATCACACTTGAACTTTCCATTTATTTTTTAAAAGTACATTGTTTCAGTGGTTTTTCTCAAAAATAAATCTGATGATGTTGTTTCTTTCCTTAAAATTGTTTGAATGTTTTCCCTCATTCATGGGATAAAGTTCTAATTCTTTTCTTTTTTAAATTTTGAGACAGGGTCTCACTAATTTTCCAGGGTGGCCTTGAATTTGAGATTGAGTACCTGGGATGAGAGGCTAAAGTTCTAATTCCCAACTTGGTCTGTGAAGATTATCCATTTTCTTAATATTCTTTGCTCTGTTAAGCTGCTGAATCTTTGCAGTTTCTGGGTTTGCATTAAAAATACTGCCTTCCTATAACTTGCCTGCTGATCTTATCCATCCTTTAAGGTCAGTTAAAACAGTTCTGCACTGGTAAGCTTTCCCTAGCCCCTTAGCCCTTCCTTAGGTGTTCATTCCTTCTTCTTTTTTTGGGGCAAAAATTGATTCTTCCAAAATTACCTGTAAATATACTTTTTTAAAAAATAAAACATGCCATTATAGTTCTGGTTTATATACTTGTTCTTCCATTAGCCATGAGATTTTTGAGGTCAAGGACTTTTTCCTATTATCTTTGAAGTACCAGTGCCTGACAAAGAGCAGGTAGTGAATAAATGTGTGATGACTTAATATTTTCTTTTTCAAGTCTGAGTTTAGAAAAAGAGGGGGTGAATAATTTTATGCTTTGTCTTCTTTCAGTCTGAAGGACAGTTTGAACTCTTTGCTGTGATTGCCCATGTGGGGATTGCTGACTTGGGTCATTACTGTGCCTATATCCGGAATTCTGTGGATGGAAGATGGTTTTGCTTCAACGACTCCCATGTTTCTTGGGTGAGAAACAACACCCCAAATTGCCTCTTACCCTGAATTAGCCACCTGTAATAAGTTCTGAGGATCTACCTGGATCCTCAAGGCCAAGACACAGTATGGTATTGTTCTTTGTGTGTGAGGTGGGTTATGACTTCAAATCCCTATTCTGCATGAAATCCCTATCTGGTTTATAGCTTTGTAAATCTCTGTAAGAGGCCATTACCTCAATGTCCAGGTTTCTGGTGCTGTGGACTCCTTGCTCTGTGGCTCCTTGCTCTGTGGGAAACTTCTGTAAAGCAAAAAGGGTTACAGATATGTAAGATATATACATACATATGTATGTAACTCTGGGGAAAGCATGACCAAGTTCAAGCGGAGGAATGAGGCTATTAAAAAAGACTATTATGCGTGACATACTATAATTAGATGCTCCAGCTCTTGGGAGTTACTAGGGTGGGTTTGTCTAGAGGAGTGAAAGAGGGCAAATTGCAGCATCCTATATTCTGTGGATATTTAGTAAATGGTCAGCCAGGTGCTGACTTCTGTTTATGTACTTCTAGGTGTCCTGGGAAGACATCCAGTGTACCTATGGAAATCGTAATTATCGCTGGTAAGAGAAGTATTTGGGTGATGGAAACCTGATGAATTTAAGCTGATTCTTGGAGCTGTATGGAACTCTCATGGACTTAGCCACTGCTTATATTCTGATGGCTTTCCGGGGACTAACCATTCAGCCTCATTTGTCAGCACCCATCCCTCTACACCATGGTGTTCTAACAATTTAGACTCCAGTAATCCTCAAGTATAAGTGACCATGTCTGTCATCTTCCCCTTCTAACTACACATAAGGAGTTTCTGCATTGCCCTCTCCTGATTTAACTTTTGTGCAAACTCCCCCTCACATTTCAATACTCATGTCTTTCTCTGATCTTCAAAGTCTTATTGATTGACCTGATCATATTTGTAGGGGCTTCTTGAGTGCTTTCATTGCATCTTGAGCATAACTCCATCATAGCAGGAATCACGCTGTTTTTAAGTTGTTTTGATACATCCTTTCTTTCACATTAGTCCTTTGTACTCTTTGGGGGGAGAAAGATCATTTTTTTTTCATATTTCTTTGGTATAGTGGCTTGCATTTAATAAATATCAAATAATACTTTTTAAATTGGTAACTATGGCAGGGAAGAAAGCTTTAACTGTATCAAGTTAAAACAGAGAGACTTTGTAAGTTTTTCTGGCTGAGTTTCTGGATTAGGAGTGACAGTGTATGCCAAAGATGATATTAAAGATGATTTTCAGTTGCAGAGATAGGTTCTATTATTTGAAAGTAACAAATTAGGTGTAATTTGTGTTTGAAGCCTTTCTCAGACTTCTACTTTTTCATATTTCTCTTCTATTTCTTCTATTTCTAATATGATTTAGATATTAACTAGTAGCATATTAGTGGTTATTTCCCACCAAGTCACTATTTTGTTTCTCTCTGAAGAGTTGTTTTCTGTTGCTATAACAAAATACATGAGGCTGAGTAGATGATGGGTAGATGAAGGTTTGATTCAACAGCCTGGAAGTTTGATAATGCTTGTCCTATCATGAAATAATAATATCATTTCACTATCAGTGGTTCATTTTGCTATGCTGATGAATTTTCTCATCTTTCTAGGCAGGAGACAGCATATCTTCTGGTTTACATGAAGACTGAGTCCTAATGGATATTTATTCTATATCTTCAGAGATTGACAGACTATCATTTTCCTTTCCTATTCTTGGATCTATTGACTCTTGTATGAGATTTTACAATGAAAAAAACTGTATAGTTACATGTTATTTATAATCAGGTGGGGATTATGTTTTGGATCTGGTTTGTCTTTCAAAGGTTCTTGTGCTGGAAACTTGGCCAAACATGGCAGTGTTGAGGTGGTGGAAACTTTTTAAGGGGGTGGGGCCTGGTGGGAGGTAAGTACGTTCATTGTTTTTCCCCTTCTTCATGATGATGGTTTCCTTTCACTTCTCAACCATATTCTGATTGCCAGCTTGTTGGCATCATGCTGATAAGACCTTCCAGTCACCAGAATGTGAGCCAAATAAATGTCTTTACAAAGAACTCAGCCTCATGTATTTTGTTATAGCAACAGAAAACATACTAGCCAAATTATCATACTAGTTAACAATGATACTACACAGGTCAGAATCAAAATGTGTACTTTTATATGTAGATCCTGGCCACATGGCTAGATAAGGGTTATCAGTGTTACTTACTTTGAAAGACATTAACCCTCCAGTTGGAGGATTGTATTTAGTAGAAGGAGTCCAAGTAATTCCCATGGAAGAAAACACTGGTAGTGGAAGGTATTTGGATAGCAAGGGACAGTGGTAGGGGAGTCAATATTTCAATATTTTACAACTATTGGGACCATACTTGTTTGTACTGGCTGAATATCAGTTCCATTTATAATTTGTTACTCATTTAATTGGAAAATATGTATTGATCACCTGTTCTCCATCAGATAATGTACCAGGCACAATAACATTCTTTCCATCAAAAGGAGTTTGCAGCTTAATCAGGGATAATTAAAACCCATAGGATACTGAAAGTTTGTGCTATAGGAATTCAAAGGATAGTTAATCACTTCTATTGTGAGGCCTTCGGAGAAGACTTCAGACTGGAAAGAGGTTGGGTTGAAGAACAATCCATTTGTAGGGAAAACATACTCAGTGGCTTGAAAGGTTTGAAAAAAATCCACAAACCTGGATTCCCTACACAAAGGAAAAAGTGGTTATGGGAAGGGAGGTGAAGCTCAGAATGTGGGAGGCTCAAACTAGCTAAGAAATTTGTTTCAAATTTGAAAGGAAATGAATTGAAGTGGCTAAAAAAGAATAATCATTAGTTGTGTTCTGTTAATTAATCTTTAGAGTGGCTGGTGATGTGGATTAGATAAAGGTATGATAGTGGAAATGGAAAGACATTCAGAGTCCCTGGAGCCATTTTGGAGGAAAATGGATGTGGGTTATAGGAGAAATCCAGAGAGTCCAATACCAACCAGTAAGGTGAACAGGGTGAGTGTTAACATACTGATTTTAATGATGAATCAATTGAGATGTTCACATGCCTAATGACTTGTTTAAGATTTCATACATGATAAGTGGCAGATTTGAAACTTAAACATAAAATATGGGTGATTTTTATTTTTTTAATTTTTTTAAAAACATGGTGTTTCTTTCTTACATTCCCTCTAGAAATATTCAGTAATGTTTTCTATACTTAATGTGTATTTATCACAATATTTGAGAAAGTACAGACTTATTTTTTTTTAGAGAGAGAGAATTTTTTAATGTTTATTTTTTAGTTTTCCGCAGACACAACATCTTTGTTTGTATGTGGTGCTGAGGATCGAACTCGGGCCGCACGCATGCCAGGCGAGCTTACTGCTTGAGCCACATCCCCACCCCCTGGGTGATTTATAAAAATATATATATATTTTAGTTGTTGATGGACCTTTATTTTATATATTTATTAATTTATATGTAGAGTTGAGAATCAAACGCAGTGCCTTATACATGCTAGGCTCTATCACTGAGCCACAATCCCAGCCCAAACATGGGTAACTTTTAAAATCATTTTTATTTTTTTTTCCTAAAAAAGATTAGCCATGCAAGCATAAGTATTCATTGTAAAATCTTCAATGAATCCCCTCTTCAGAACTAACCATTATTAATCAGGTGTATATTAGTTTCTTATGGTGGCCCTAGCAAATTAGCATAAACTGAATTGCTTGAAACAATGGAAATTTATTGTCTCATAGTTCAGGAGGTTAGAATCTCAAATCAAGGTGTCCACAAGATTGACCCCTTGAGGCTTAGAAGGAGAACCTGTTCTATGCCTCCKCCATAGTTTCTGGTGGTTGCCAGTAATTCTTGCCATTTATTGGTTTGTAGCTGTTTTACTTCAGTTGCTGCCTTCATCTTGACATGGCTTTTTTTTATAAAGATGCCAGTCATTGAAATGAGGACCCACCTAATCTACTAGGGCCTCATTTTGACTTAATTACATCTGCATAGACCCTCTTTCCAAACAAGTTCACGTTCTGAGGTTACAAGTGGACCTGGATTTCTTGGGGACACTATTCTAGTATAAGGTGTGTAATCTAGGTCCTTCTCTATGCATTTGCATATATGTGTGTGCACACATATGTATACATACATATGGAATATATATATGATATGTATATATTTGGTACTGGGAATTGACCCCAGATGTGCTTTACTACTGAGTTACTTCCCTAGCCACATCTTTTATTTGTTATTTTGAGACAGGATCTTACTAAATTGCCCAGGTTGGCCTTGAACATGTGATCCTCCTGCTTTAGCCTTGAGTATCTGGAATTACAGGTGCTACTACCATGCTCAGCAGATATAAATTTTTTTTGCAAGTGGAGTGTGGTAGCACATGCTGTAATCCCAGTTACTTCAGAGGCAGGAGGATCACAAGTTCAAGATCAGCCTCAGCAACTCAGTGAGAGCTTGTCTCAAGAAACAAACAAACAAAAAAGGAGATGTAGCTCAGTGGTAGAGTGCTTGTGTGAAGCCCTGCATTCAATCCTCGAAAACAAAAAATTACAAAATAAAGATAGAAATTATATTGTGTAATTCTACTCATTGCTTTTTTCACCTAACAATGTCTTGGAGAAAATTTTCTAAGTCCTTATATAGATTGAGAGTATCCTCTTAAAATGTTGCATTTGAGTCCATAGAATGATATCCTGTAATTTGTTTTTCCATTTTCATATTGGTAAGTAGGGCGTTTTCATTTTTTCTAATACTTAAAAATGTAGATACATTTTTGTGCAAGTTTATAAATATTCCTTTTTAATTCATTAATAAATAATAATAATACTTTTTATTTTTTTACAAACCCAGGGCCTTATTTGTGCTAGGAAAGTGCTCTGTCACAGCTATGTTCCCAGACCTTCACTTGTAACCCTTCTGAAGGTGCTAAAAGTGAAATTACTAGGCCAAAAGGCATGGATATCTATAAATTATAATTATTACTACTAAACTAATCCCAATCAACACCAATAACTTTTATAATCTTTTTATTGTTAATACTGTTTTATTTTTAAAAATTTTTTATTAGAGCCTTGTGGTTATGTATAGTATTGGGTTTTATTACTGTTTTTGATTGACAAATCATAATTGTGTATATCTGTGGGGTATAATGGTGTGTGTGTGTATGCATACAATGTGGAATGATTAAATCAACATAATTAACTATCCCATTGATTACCTTTCAGTTTTTTAAAGTTTTTTAAAAAATATGTTCTAGTTGTTGATTGACCTTTATTTATTTACATGTGTGGCTGAGAGTTGAACCCAAGGCCTCACACATGCTAGGCAAGCACTCTACCACTGAGCCACAACCCCTACCTTTCATTTTTAATGGTGAGACAGTTGAAATTTTCTCCTTTATTTTGAAATATACAATATATTTACTATAGTTACCCAGAATAGACCTGAAAATCAATTCTTCTTATGTATTGGAAGCTTTGTACCCTGCAATAAACAACTCTCCATTTTCTCTTTCTCTATTCCCTTCCCCAGTCCCTGGTGACCACCATATACTTTACTTCTTTAAGTTCAACTTTATATTCAGCATGTGAGATAAGGTGGTATTTGTCTTTTTGTGCCTGGCTTATTTCCCTTAGTATAATGTTCTCCAGAATCATCCATGTTGTCAAAAATTACAGGTCTTCCTCCTCCCCATTTTAATGCTGTATAGTTTTCCATGTGTATATACACTCCATTTTCTTTAACCATTTATCCTCTGATGGATACCTAGGTTGATTCTTTATCTTGGCTACTGTGAATAACACTGTGGGGAACACTGTGGGGAACATAGTGATGCAGATATCTCTTTGACATATGGTTTTAGTTTCTTTTATATACTGAGTAGTGGGATTGATGGATGATATGAGGATCCTCCATACCATTTTCTACCATAACTATAGTACTTTACATCCTCATTAACAACATACAAGAGTTCCATTGTCTACCTCCTTGCCAACACTTGATTTTGTTCATATTTTTAAATAAAAGCTATTCTAACTTAGTCGAGGTGATATTTTATGGTTTTAATTTGCATTTCTCCATTGATTAGAGTCCTACTGAGGCTCTGGGTTTGATCCCCAGCACTACAAGAAATTAAAAACAAAACAAAACATAAAAAAAGAAGAGCTTTTGGCCTGATGGGCAATTTTGGTAAAAGAGACCAAGTCCCCCCTTGATAGTATGGCACTTGGTTTTGGCCTGGTTAAAAAGTACAGCCCTTAGCTGGGTGCAGTGGTGCATCCCTATAGTCCCAGCTGCTTGGGAGGCTGAGGCAGGAGGATCCAGAGTTCAAAGCCAACTTCAGCAAAAACAAGGCACTTAGCAACTCAGTGAGATGGTATCTCTAAAATATAAAATAGGGCTGGGGATGTGGCTCAGTGGGTGAGTGCTCCTGAGTTCAATCCCTGATACCAAAAACAAACAAACAAAACAAAAAACAAGACCCCTGCCCCCCACAGTCCTGATGCTTGATATTAGCCAAAAATCATCTTGGAGATTTCTGTTTCCATTGTTGTCATTTGTAGATGATAGGACTCATTGGCAACTGGTACAAATATAAGTTCAAGTATGTGTGAGATTGTGGTTCCCTTAGTTATGTTTATATGTATTATACATTTATGAATTTTTATGCTTATTTATATATATATTTATATGCCATTTATATTTAATTATAAATACATTTTTATTTGTGTTTGTGTGTGTATATATATGTGTGTGTATATATGTATATATGTTTGTGTATAAACATACATATATACAAATATAATAAGATATGTAAGTATTTTTGTTTTTTTTTTTTGAGAGAGAGAGAGAGAGAGAGAAAGAGAAAATCTTTTTTGTAGATGGACACAACACAATGCCTTTATTTATTTTTTTATGTGGTGCTGAGAATCAAACCCAGGTCCCGCCCGTGCTAGAGGAAAGCTCTACCTCTGAGCCATAGTCCCATCCCCTTGTGTGTTTCTTTTA